CGAGAAGAACATTTAGGAAGGGGGCTCAAGAAGTAATGCTTAGGCAGCACTATGTATAGTCCTCAGGCCCTTTATTGGGGGCCCTGGAATACTTAGAACACGAACGGATGCTCTGGTCACGGTATGCTCTTATTACATGAGCGTCATTCTAATTTGGGCACGGATGCTCTGGTGACCGTATGCTCCTGGAACACAAACGTTATTATGGTTGCTCTGGTCGCCATATGCTCTTGAAACGGGAACGTCCTTTTGGTTGGGCATGGAAGCTCTGGTCACCGTATGCTCTTGGAACACGAATGTTATTAGGTTCTGGCCATGCATGCTGTGATCGCCGTATGCTCTCTTGAAACACGGACGTTATTATGGTTTGGGAATGCCCTTCAATGAGTAAAACCATTCCGAATGTCTCATTTCCCAAATCACGCCGCGTGGCAAAAACACGGGTCACCAGTACACATCTCCATATGTTTATCTCCTGGTTATAGGTATCTGGCTAACAAGAAACCCTAATTTGTTGAAAGTCCCAACATAGAGATCTGGTGGTGGGGGATGCTATAAGCATCCAGGGATCCACTCCACCACTCCCCCTGAAATTCTAAAACCGTGTAGAACCCTATAAAATGGGTGCTTCCCACTCTATTTGCAATTTTCTTTTAGTAGTTAGTTCTGTATTTGGAAGACCAGAACCTAAACCCTAAACACCAAACCCCTACAAAATCCCTTTCCATTTCATGTTCGATTTTCTCTTCCATTTGATTCTCCGTTATTACGGCTATATAATATATCCCCGTAAGCCTGGAGCCCAAATAGGGGAGGCCCTTAGGCTCTGGACCCACATCAGGGCTCAAAATGGAAGGTTTCAGATTCTTAAAAAAAAAAAAAAAAAAAACATTTTTCACAAAAATTGGCAATTCTCGGGCTGCTGAAAATGGTCAACAATGCACAGAAGAGAGAAAATGCCTGGGCAGGTCCTTAGGCCTGGAGCCCAAATTGGAATGTTTGGAATCCCAAAATGATCATTTTTCACCCAAAAAGGAAATTCTCCCGTCGCTGAAAATAAGAAGAAGACCTTAAGGAGGCCCGTAGGCCCTGGAGCCCAGATTGGTGCGTTTGCAGTTCCCAAACCGGCCATTCTCGGGCTGTCGAAAATGTACAAAAAGGCAAAGGAGTTGAAAATGGCTAGGACGTTCTTAGGCTCTGGAGCCAAAATTGAACGTTCAAGTGCACCAAAATGATCATTTTCGACCAAAAACGACATTCTCAGGCCGCCAAAAAAGTCAAACATACACAAAATGGAAGGGAAACCCCTGGGGAGGCCCTTAGGCGCTGGACCCAAATTGGGGCGTTGGGGGGATCCCAAAATGATCGTTTCCGACCAAAACGTGCTTATTTGCGGGCCGCGGAAAATGGCAAAAAAGGCACAAAACAAGAGGAAATCCTTAGGGAGGCTCGTAGGCCTAGAGCCCAAATCGGATGGTTTGAGGGTCGCAAAATTCTCATTGTTAACCAAAAACGGCCATTTTCGGGCTGTCGAAAATGTCCAAAAAGGCGAAAAAATGGAAAATGCCTAGGGAGGCCCTTAGGCTCTGGACCCAAATTGGTGCATTTGCGGGTCCAAGTTTGTCATTTTGGCGCAAGATAAAGAAATTCTTAGGGAGGCCCGTAAGCCTGGAGCCCAAATTGGGGCGGGCCGCTGAAAATTGCCAAAAATTCACCAAATAGGGGAAGTGCTTGGGGAGGCGCGTAGGATGTGTTTTTCAAGGAAAAACCGAAAATTGCCAACAATGCCAGAAAAACGAGGAAATGCCTAGGGAGGCCCTGAGGCTCTGTCTGGACCCAAATTAAAAGTGTTCCAAAACGGTCACGTTCAACAAAAAACGCGCATTACGGCCAAAAAATCCTTTGGGAGGCCCGGTCCCAAAATGATCATTCTTCGCCAAAAACGGGCATTCTCGGGCAGCGGAAAATGTCAAAAAATGCAAAAATGAAAAAAAATCCTAGGATGCCGCTAGGCTGTGGACCCAAATTGTGGCGTTTGGGTGTCCCAAAATTGTCATTCTCGACCAAAAAGGCCCAAGGCCTGGCGCCCAAATTGGGAGTTTGGAGTACTCAGAATGCCGCTGAAAACTGCTAAAAATGCACAAAGTAGGGGAATCCTTAGGGAGGCCCGTAAGCCTGGAGCCCAAATTGGGGGTTCGGGGTTTCAAAGGAAATTCCTAGGGAGGCCTGTAGGCCTGGAGCCCAAATTGGGGCGTTTGGGATCTTAAAATGTTCATTTTTGACCAAACTTGGCCACTCTGGGGCCGCTAAAAATGAACAAATTTGAGGCTCCAAAAGGTTGAAAAAAACTTTAAAATGCGGCTCCAAATCGCATCCCAAAAGGCTAGCCGGCTCCAAAGGCATAAAATTGTCTCCCCAAACCAAAAATTGCTGCCAAAAAGCTCAAATGTGGCTCCAAACACCAACAGCCGTCTCAAAAAATATTTTTCCCAACACCTTAATTCAAAAAAACACAAATTGATTCCGAAATGGTTCAAGATACACTCCGAAAAGCAGAAATTGCTGTCCAAAAGCCTAAAACTCTACATAAAAACAAATTCGCTTCAACAAAGAAACACAAATGCAAAACGGGTCCAGGTCGAAAGTTGTTTTTTTCTTCGCCGCCCGAAGCGCAAAGCGAAAAACCGAAAGCAAAACAGATTGCGGTTTAAGAAGCGGTCTCCTTCAAGACAGCTGACCCATGAGATGGCCAGGGCGCCCGCTGCGCTGGCGGACCCTAAACCCTAAACCCTAAACCCCTAAGCCCTAAACCCTAAAGCCCTAAACCCTAAACCACCCTATAATCCCTGCTGGGGCTCAAGCTGCGAAAAAGTGATCGTTTCTCGAGCAGCTGAAGGGGATCTGCACCAGAGCAAGCATAGAAGTGGGAATTGTCAAGCTTCCGCTCCTTGTTGGGAGTCCTTGTGATAACTAAATACCGCAATAATTTTGGGTCTATGTTGGGCACCCCACCAACTTTCAACGAGTGCTTTTCAAGATAGGCAAATGCAATTAGCCCTCCTGGTCGAACTAGTTGCGAGAACTGCCACATGGCTTGAACAAAGAAAGGAACATCTTCTTACAACATGGCTCTATGTGCATGTGCAAGGCAGCTGAAGTAAGATGCTGCCAAGAACTCATGGTAGGTCAGGACCCCTCCTATGTAGGGGTTATATAGGGGATATATTGGGTTTATATTGGGATAACGGAAAATAAAATGGAAACTACAGGGATTATAGGGGTTATATAGGGGATATATTGGGTTTATATTGGGATAATGGAAAATCAAATGGAAACTACAGGGATTATAGGGGTTATATAGGGGATATATTGGGTTTATATTGGGATAATGGAAAATCAAATGGAAAAGCAAATGGAACATGAAATGGAAACTGGGATTATATGATGTTGTGCGGATTGGGGGCATGCGGTCCTAAATCCTAATCTTTCGCTCGCTTGCAATTGGACATTCAGCAGCTTCCTTACAACAACCTGTGTTTGTAAAAGACACCCTACGCTTGAGTTTGCTAGCCCTGCAACACTGCTTATGGAACAAGCCCTACATGACCCTTTAGTACACCGTGTTGCCACAATTCCCAAGGCATCATGCAGTTCCCACTCGGCTGCAAGTCCTTCCTGCTTCATTGCATGCAAAGCTGTGAAAATCCGGGTTGAAAGCAGTTCCAACACCGGATTCAAATACCTTTCTGGCAATTAGTAAGGAACAAGGGAAGGGAGCCTTCGAGTATCCCACAGAACTCCCAATAGGTTTAGGGTCTAGGGTTTAGGGTTTTTAGTGTTTAGGGTTTTTAGGGTTTAGGGTTTTTAGGGTTTAGGGTTTAGTCGTTTCAATGGTCGTTTACACTTCCTCATCCCCGGCTAACCACCAGTAAGGTACTCCTGGCACCTAGCAGCCTTCACATGAGCCATTGTCTCAACTCCTAGCATCCCTCCCCCCTACTCACCCCTGTACCAATTTGCTATGTGATACCCTAGAGAAACCCCTTTAAGGAGTTTAGACCATGGCTCACATGAATCAGTCCTAGTTGCTGAGTTCCCTGGCCCCAAAGAGGTTAACTTTTACATTATACTAGGACTATATATACCCCAGAAGGTCAAAGGTTACCTACCCAGCTACTAAGCATTCAACATCACTGCCTTGATGGACCCATCGTCTGCATATTTGCATTCGGAAGATCCGACCTTGATTGAATGCGGAACGGAACTTCTCAACTTCAGCTTGTCGACAAAATTAGATCATCTAGGGTTGAGGTTCTGGGTTTAGGGAACCACATGGGAAATTACATAAAGATTATAATGTAGGCAGGAGTCAGTATGGGTCCATATAGGGATCTACCTCAGGGATTTGCAGGAAACATGGAACAGTCCTATGAATGGGAGTCTCCCAAAACTAGGGATACCTTTTTGGGGGGTAGCCACAAAGAAAAGAAAAATAGAATGGGGTCTAACGGGGTCCCCTAATTTTAGAAAGCTACCATAAAGATGGGTCCCCTTCAAAAAACATGTAGGTCTCATTTTGGGATGCAATCCAAGCCAGCCAATTACTGGCCTTTGGTTAGCTAGGAATGAAGGAATGGATCCTTATAGCAGTCTCTATATAACCCATTCTAGTAGTTTCCATTTTCTTTTCCATTCCTTCATTCCCAGCTAACCCAAGGCCAGGTTACAGACCGCAAGCTTGGCCACCAGCTGCACGGGTAAAGCCCACTTCGCACTCGAAGTTCTCTTGGGTGCATTCGCAGTTCTGGCGACAAGTTTAGGGTTTAGGTCTAGGTGCATTCGCAGTTTTGGCGACAGAGCAAAAACAAAATGCGAAGCTGTAAGACCGCCGCGGTTTTGCAGGCGCTAAGAGCAAATGAAAAGACTCGGACACACACTCAGTGCAGGCTATTTGGCATATCCGCAGGAACTGTTTGAAGACAGCTGTTGCTTGAAGGCGCCTTCTTGCTGATCGGGCGCTCGAACTTCTCGCCGTTAAAACATTCGGAAGTCTGCTTTCGTCTGGTATAAGTCACCTGCGCCAAATTATGGCATGATGAAAAGCAACGTCTGGATTCCGAGACACCAGGTAGGTATGGTACAAAACACTTTTGTTATCTACAATCGCAACTATTCCCCAACCAGTAATGCGTATCACGAAGAACTATTGTAGGTACATTAAAGCTCTATTAACTCCATATTTAGGGGCTAGTACTGTAGGGTGGATACAGGTTTTCCGCAACCAGTCCCTAAGCCCTAAACCCTAAAATGCGTCACAGCCATGAAAGATTTTCCTACCACTGGAGATGGCTCGTTTTGAAGGTTTCCCAAAATTAGGCGTACCCTTTTGGGGGTCCCAAAACGAAGGACTATAGTATTTCAGGATCTATATTGGAGTTCCCCCCTTTAAGAAAACAACTGCCATTTCGAAGCACAGATTAGCGTCATATTGGAACACAGAGCAAGCACAGTCCAACTTTTTGCTCCTCAGATCCTTGGCGTGCGTTCTTCCAAGTGTCTTCTATCAGGTTGAGGTGTAGGGTTTAATTAGGGTTTAGGGTTTTAGGTTTAGGGTTTAATTTTCAAAGGGTCAGCCAGGCAAGAATATGAGCACCGCAGCCGAGCATGCGATCTTACTCTATGCTAGGGCTGCTAGGGACCACTCCATCAATCTCCTCCCGCTAGGAATCATAAACTCCCGAAAACTAGTAATGAACACCCCCAATCTAGTACCATCATATTCTAGTATGGAGACTATTGAAGATGATCAGGGGGTGAGGAGATTCATTGTGAGGGGTATCCTAAGCCCTAAAACCTGACTCAGGTGTGCCAACAAGTTTGTCGTCTGGTGCTCACCTAGCCGGCCGACTTCTACAGCATTGTCAAGAAAGTAATGTAAGGGCCTATACTGCTTGGTCTAGGGTTTGTGGGGTTTGTAGGGTTATTGGGGCAGATTACACTACAGCAACTTACTGTGAGGGAGGTACATCATTCTGCCATCCCAGTGGCTTTGTACTGGCCGTGCTGCAGCAGCATACTGATGTACAATGATACTCTTCTGCTATGAGGGTGATAGCAGAAGGCAGCCTTCAAAACAGCATCACTCTGAGCTTGGATTTGCAGACAGACTTAGCCTCTGCATGCAAGTAAGCCTCAATTTCTCGTGGCATTGCAACATTAAATGAGCCTGGGTCCCTTGCATCTACGGTTGATCACCACAGAGGCGGTATGCAAACGATATCATCAAGTGGTACATCCAAGCTTTCATGGGCACATAGGGCGCGCAGATATCTGGGCATACAGTAAGGCTGACAGTCGACCCAAGCAAGACTTGCATGACTTTCAAGTATCCACCTTTCGAAGCGATCTGCAAAGGTGTTTCGCCCCGACTGTTTGCCGTAGCTTTGTCCGCGCCAGCACACACGAGAAGATTCACGACTTCATCATGGCCACATGCAGAAGCAATCCACAATGGTGATGTGCCTAGGTCAGTGACTCTGTCAATGTCTGCGCCAGCCTGCAGCAGAAGACGAACAACTTCCAAATGACCGTTTTTAGCAGCAATCCATACAGGCGATCTGTCGTTTACATCGGCTAGGTCCTTGTCAGCCCCTGCTGTCAACAGCATTTTGGCAACCTCCACATGGCCTTGCTCACAGGCTACAAACAGAGGCGATGCGCGTGTTTCGTTGTTGGCTCTGTTCTTTTCAGCACCAACAACAAGCAGAAGCTGGATGACTTCAAGATGGCTGTGTAAGGATGCTACCCAAAGAGGGGTTGTGCCAGTAATGGCTGGCTTGTTGACGTCTGCTCTTGCTTCGAGGAGCAGCTGCGCAGTCTCCAATCTACCACTCTTACATGCAGTCCAGAGCGGCGATGCGCCAAATGGATCTGTAGCCTTGTCCTTCAAGGAATGTGGGGCTTCATAGGGGGTAATGGAAAATGCATAGCCCCAAGAATGGAGAATCAAATGGACAAGGAAATGGAAAATGAGATAGAAGCTGGGGTACCCCATTAAAAATTCCAAGGAGGACCCCCAGAACCCCCCCCAAAATCCCTTGGTATCCCTTGGCCTCACAACTCCAATCCGTAAACCCTAAAACCCTAAAACCCTAAGCCGTAAAACCCTAANNAGCCTAAAAGCCTAAAAGCCTAAACCCCTTAACGCTGAAAGCCTGTACCCTACACCCCTGAAACACTAAACCCTAGCACCCAAAACTGTAAAAGTCTAAACCTTTAAAGCCTAAACCTTAAAACCCTAAAACCCTAAAACCCTAAGTCGTAAAAGTCTAAACCCTAAAACCCTAAACCGCAAGAGTCTAAACCCTAAAACCCCAAAGCCCTAAACGTAGCCTTGTCCTTGTCAGCCCCAGCCTTAAGCAGCAGACGTACGCATGCATCGCTGCCATGCGCAGCTGCGACTCCAAGGGCGGTTCTTTCCTGTAATCTCTTATTCTATCTAGGGTTGAGGGTTTAGGGGTCTAGGGTTTAGGGGTTCAGAGGTTTGGGAACATTACCGCCATAACGGAGAATCATATGGAGAAATGAAACGGGAGCCGCGGTTTTAGACCCATTTGAGGTCTCGCAACATTAGGGATCAGGTGGAATATATTGCGATACTGGTGAAGAACATGGAAAGTACCGATTTAGGGTTTAGGGTTTAGGGCTTCCCACAATTAGGGATACCTTTGTTTGCAGGGACCCTAGACTAGGACTATGGAATTTTGAGGTCTATATTAGTTGAGTTCCCCCAATCTCTGGAAACTATCATAATAACATTATTAGTTTTAGCGGTTCATTGGGCAACCCGAAACCCTAAACCCTAATAAGCCCAAAGCTACAAACAAAAAAAAAATCATTCCTGAAGTGATGGAGTTTCATGTCCATCTACAAGGTCTGGATCCAAGGGTGTTCCCAAAAGCTGCTCCATGACTTCCTGGGTGGCTGCTAAGAAACTTTTTCTAAATTACTATAACGAGGGAATGTATTATTTACTCTATACCCATATAAGGTAACTTAAGCCCTAAATCCTACATACCCACACTATGGTATCTTAAGCCTTAAACCCTGTTTACCTATATTCTTATACACCCATATTATAGTAGCTTTCAATTAAGCTCAATAACAGCGACCCAGCTTCGGCCCTGTTCAGAGCAGCTGCAGATTGAAAGGTCTTGAGCTGCTTACCAGTGGGAGTTTGGAATGGTACAAGGACCAGCTGCACATCTTGGGAGGTTTGCAACTCCAATGTCAGATCATCTGCCAGTAGGTTGCCGTTATGGAGAAGCCTCTGCCTATAAATGGAGATGCCAAGCACTTCCTGCAAGCGCTCTTTGACAGCCCCAGCAGCTGTGATGCCAGCAACTTCATTCGCAGGCAGGGAGGCAACCTCTTCACCAGACAGCCTGTGAATTCGCATGGCAACGCTTTGCCCTGGTGACCCAGATAGGGGTTTCCAAGAAAAGTGGCTCACTTTTTGGGCATCCCTATACTCAGTATCCTATTTGGAAACCCCCAGATTACGATTCTAGTTCATGCTGCGGCCTTGCGAACACATGCACTTCGTGCTGACGGTGCCCGGGCCCTGAATTCTTTAGAGTCTTTGTGGACAGCTCCAGTGGTGTTGCCCACATCAAAGCATCGGATAGTGAAAGCTCTGTACGCCTACACAAGCCCAGTGTCCATTTCAGTTTCCATGGTCTTGTCCATTTACCGCTCCATTGTTGGGGTTCTATGCCTATATACTCCCTCCATGTATAATCCTAATTTCCCATAGCTTCCATGTCATGTTCAACTTGATTTTCCACCTAAACCCTAAACCCTAAACCCTAAATCCTAAACCCTAAATCCTAAACCCTGAAGCCTGAACCCTAAACCCTAAATCCTAAATCCTAAACCCTAAATTGAAGTCTCTTGCTTTGGCACCGATCCAGAGCCCAAAAGCTGCGGCAATCAACTCCAAAGAGTTGGATTAGCATGGCCCAAAAGTAGGGTTTAACACTTAGGGTTTAGGATTTAGGGTTTAGGGCTTAGGGGGGGTTTTGGGTCTAGGGTTTAGGATAATGATAAGCTAACAATGCTCAATAATCAGAGTAAAGCTAACTGTACTTGCGGAATCCCCCCTGACTGCAGGT